CATCTGCGGTGTGAATTGTCCTTGGGTATCTGGCTTCCTTAAGAATGGCAGAGTAGTTCTTGTTTTCCCCTGAGGTAATGCAGGGCTGGTAACCTTCATCTTCTCAAGTTGCAACCTCTTCAACCTTGTTTACGGCCTCTGGGCCATCTAGCACCAGAGAGGCCAGGGATGCCGGGCAGGGGTGTAAGCCCCTGACTGCGCAGGGGGCGTGAGCCCCTGACTGCGCAGGGGGCGTGAGCCCCGGGCCGTGGGCCTGGGCTGTTCCTGGCGCAAGGCTGCACAGGGGGCGTGAGCCTGCGGCCCGCGGGGCCCCCACCGGAGCGGGGCCGGGCTGTTCCTGGCTCGCGGCTGCGCTCATTTCCTTTTCTTGTCTTATTGCATTAGCTAAGACTTTAGTGTGATGTTGAAAAAGTACTGTTTTTCATCTTACTGGGAAAACATCTAATTTCTCAGCATTAAGTATTATGTCAGTGTAGGTTCTTTTGTTTTTGTTGCCCTTTTTAAAAAGATATTCTTTATTTGGTTATGGAGGTTTCCCTCTATTCTTAGTTTATGGATAGTTGTTTTTTGTTTTTAGCTTTCAAATCATAAATGAGTGTGCTAGCTTTTGTTTTAAAATGCGGGGCTACCAGATGGCATAGTGATTGCATCGCTCAACTCCCTCGTGGCTGACCACAGTTCCAGTCCTGGACCCAGTGGCATGAAACTCATGCCAGGAGTGTGTGCATGTGTGCCCAAGATCCCAAGAGGAGAATGGAGGGAAAGGGATTGTGGCATGGCCATCACCATGGGGATTGATTTTTCACTTTCCCTCTCACTGTCTCTCTCTCTCTTTTGTTGCAAAAAAACCTCCAAAAGATTGTTTACTGTATCTTGAAATAATAATGTGATTTTAATTTTTTAATCTATGGATATGTGATGGAGTATGTAACTAAATTTTTTAAAGTTTGTTTTACTTCTTTTATGAGAGAGCATGAGTATATATGTGTGTGTGTGTGTGTGTGTGAGAGAGAGACAGAGACGGAGAGAGAGGGAAACAGGTACCCTGTCTGCATGCTATGATCCCTGTCTCCTGGCCCTCCAGTCAGCCAGGATCTTGGGTACACATACCTGGGGTGTTTTAGGTAGACTTAGGATCCAGATTTGTACTTGATCTTGTGGCCCTCAGCACTACAGAGCAACATGCTACCGCCTGCACCACTGAGGCTGGGCCGCATCAACTAAGTTTTGAATGTTGAGCCAGCTTTGCATACCTGGGGCAACCCCACTTAGTCATGGTATATAATATTTTTATACATTGTTTTATTTGATTTGCTAATTTTGGGGGGAACTTTTACATCTATCTTTACGAGAAATATTGGCCTATAGTTTTCATTTCTTATAATCTCTCTCTCTCTTTTTTTTTTTTGTTTGGTTTTGATATTAGGGTAATGCTGGCCTAATAGACTGAGTTACAAAGTATTTCCTTTGCTTCTATCTTCTGAATGAGGTTGTAGAACACTGAGGTTGTAGAACACTGGCTTAATTTGTTCCTTAAATGTTAGGCAGAGTTCACCAGTGAACCTATCTAAACAAACTACTCTTTTTAAGGGCAGTTAGAATAAAAAAATAAGTTAATTTTCTTTTCCTTATTCTTTCTTGAATAGAATGGTAGTTGTCAGAGACTGTGGGAGAGAGAAAATGACGAGGTGTTAATCAAAGAGTATAAAGTTTTAATTGTGAAAGATGATGAGGCCTTAGCAGTGTACAGTACAGTATATTACCTGTAGTTAACAGTACTGAATTGTATAGTTAGATTAGCTAAGAGAGTAGATGTTGTGTTACATGTTCTTACCAGAAATATCGATATAATAATACTAGTAAATGAGTCAGAAAGGAATTTTTGTAGGCAGTGAATATATTTATGGCATAGATTGTAGTGGTCATCGTAGAGGTGCATACTTATCTTCAAACTCATCACTTTTTATACATTGATTATGTAGTTTTTTAAATCAGTCATACATACATAAAATAGTTTAATAGCTAATTAGATATGGATCAGAGTCATAAATGTAAAAGTTAAAATTACAAAGCTTTTAGGAGAAAATCTTTGTATCCTTGAGGTGGAAAAACCTGATAGTATACAAAAGCATGGGTCATAAAATAAAATAAAATCCTTTCATTTTGAAAGACCTTGTTGAGAACTGAAAAATAAGCCACAATCTGGGAGAAAAATATTCTCTGTTTATGTCTCTGATAAATGGCTCGTATCTCACATACACAATATTTCCAATTCAGTAAAATCAAATTGCCACAAGATTTGAGAAGACCCTTTGCATTTGAAGATACAATAAATGGCAGAAAAGAGCACATGAAGGAATTGCTCAACCTCCTTCTTATAAGGAGAATGACATCAGCAACCCAAATGAACTGATACTGCAGATTTCTTAGGAATGCAGAAATGAAAGGGACTGACAACACTAAACCGTGGCAAGGAGGTAGGAGGTAGGGCAGCTGGTACTCACATACGCTGCTGATAACGTTCACACTGGAAAACAGTTCTGCGCTTTCCATAGAACTGAGCACGCTTATGCAAGGATGGTTATAGCAGCAGCTTTATTCATAATAGCTCCAATGTGGAAGCCAACTAAATGTCCACTAAGAGGAGAATGCCGA